GAACAGCCATGGAAAAAGGCCATTCCCTTGTTTAGACCAAACATGCTTGAGAGGATGTTGGGCAAGGCAGAAGGTCCTCCACATATGACCTTACTGTTCCCATAAAGAGAGATACAGTCTTTCAAATAACCTGGACCAAAGCTGCATTGGGTTTTATGGGTCAAAAAACAGCACTTTGATTTGTACCCAGAAGTGGATTGGCAGCTAGTGGAGCTGTTGCAACAGTAGAGTTGTATGCTCCCGTAGCCAATCCCAATTAATAATCTGGCTGCCAATCTTTAGTTCATCTGAAGTTTGGGTTGTGGGTCCAGTTATATATAAATCAGCACCAGCATCAACAGCTTGCCTTGCATTTCTGACAACAGTTACAGACAGCTGATACGTTCAGTCCCTGCAAAAGAAGAAAATAAATATTGTGTGGGGTTATATGTGGGGGTACACTGCTGGGAACCCTTCAGCCTTATGCTCCATGCATTAACTGATTCTTCCTTCCTTGTGTTGTGAAAGGTTTTCATGGCTGGAATCAATGGGTTGCTGTGAGTTATTTGGGCGGTATGGCCATGTTCCAGTAACATTATCTCCTGATGTTTCATCTGCATCTATGGCTGGCATCTTCAGAGGTCTGAAGATGCTGGTCACAGATGCAGGTGAAATGTCAGAAGAGAATACTACTGGAACATGGCCATACAGCCCAAAGAACTCACAGCAATCCTTCCTTCCTTCCTTCCTTCCTGCCTGCTTTCTATCCTAGTTGGGAGTCTTTGGGATTGTAGCTTTCAAACTAGTCCCTGGTTTTCAGTGCCTGGTTTATTTATATTACATTACAGCACTTTATTTATATTATGTTCTATCTTCCCAAGGGGATTCAGAGTAGATTACAACATACACAGATAGGCAAAGATTCAATACCTTTTATTTAATACAGTGAAATAACAATGACATACAAATAACAAAGGTAAAGGCTGCTCCTTTCATCTCCGGCTTCTGGAGGTGATGCTCAACTCGGGCCATGGGGAGGTGCTCTTGTTCCATTTCCAAGCTGAGGAGCCTGTTGTTCATAGACACCTCCTGGTCATGTTGCTGGTATGGCTGAATGGGAGCCTTTATTACCTTCCCACCAAAGCGGTACCTATTCACCTACTCACATTTGCATGTTTTCAAACTGTTAGGTTGGCAGGAGCTAGGGCTAACTGCGGGAACTCACTCAGACCCGCAGCTTTGAACTGCCAACCTTTTAGTCAGCAGAGTCAACAGTTCAACAGCTTAACCCCTTGTGCCACCACAACAAGAGATTGATGAAGACACAGGAGAACCTAAAACTCATTCTTCTGGCCTGGCAGTATCCGGAATTTGGATAATGCATTATGCTGAATGCATTGGCTCTTCCTTCCTTCCTTCCTTCCTTCCTTCCTTCCTTCCTTCCTTCCTTCCTTCCTTCCTTCCTTTCTGGTGTGTTTGAGATTGTAACTATTCTGTGAACTATTGTTATTTACCTTCAAAATGTGGTCGCAGATGGTGATGGAGACAGGGAAAATAGCCTAATACTCTTTCTTCTGGCCTGGCATCATCCAGAGTTTGGATAATGCATGATGCTCAATGCATCAGCCCTTCCTTCCTTCCTTCCTTCCTTCCTTCCTTCCTTCCGTCCGTCCGTCCGTCCGTCGAGTGTGTTTGAGATTGTAGCTCTTCAGTGCCCTACTATTATTTACCTGCAAAATTGAGGTAGCTAGACAGTGATGAAGACACAGAAAAGAGCCTAATACTGGACTGGCGTTATCCAGAGTTTGGATAATGCATTATGCTGAATGCATCAGCTCGTCCTTCCTTCCTTCTGATGGCCTAATACCTATTTTTCTGGCTTGGCATCATCCAGAGTTTGGTTAATGCATTATGCTGAATGCATCAGCCTTTCCATCCATCCTCCCTTCCTCCCATCTATCCTGGTTGTTTGAGATTGTAGCTCTTTGGTGCCTTACTATTATTTATCTGGAAAATTGAGGTAGATAGACAGTGATGGAGACACAGAAAAGAGTCTGGCATTATCCAGAGTTTCGATAATGCATTACGCTGAATGCATCAGCTGATCCATCCTTCCTTCTGATGGAGACACAGAAAAGAGCCTGATACCCATTCTTCTGGCCTGGCATTATCTAGAGTTTGGATAATACAGGATGCTGAAAGCATCAGCTTCCTTCCTTCTGATGGAGACATAGAAAAGAGCCTAATACCCCTTCTTCTGGCTTAGCCTTATCCAGAGTTTTGATAATGCATTATGTTGAATGCATCAGCTCTTCCCTCCTTCCTTCCTTCCTTCCTTCCTTCCTTCCTTCCTTCCTTCCTTCCTTCCTTCCTTCCTTCCTTTCTTTTGATGGAGACACAGAAAAGAGCCTAATACCAATTCTTCTGGCTTAGCATTATTCAGAGTTTGGATAATGTATGATGCTGAATGCATCAGTCCTTCCTTCCTTCCTTCCTTCCTTCCTTCCATCCATCTAGTGTGTTTGGGATTGTAGCTCTTCAGTGCCCTACTATTATTTATCTGAAAGATTGAGGTAGATGGAGACAAAGAAAAGAGCCTAATACTCATTCTTCTGCCCTGGCATTACCCATAGTTTGGATAATGCAGGATGCTGAAAGCATCAGCCTTTCTTCCTTCTGATGGAGACATAGAAGAGAGCCTAATACCCATTTTCCTGGCTTGGCGTTATCCAGAGTCTGGATAATGTATGATGCTGAATGCATCAGCCCACCCTTCTATCATCCCTCCCTTCCTGGTATGTTTGAGATAGTCATGCTCTGGTACCCTATTATTATTTACCTGCAAAATTGAGGTAGATAGACCATGATGGAGACACAGAGAAGAGCCTAATACTCATTCTTCTGCCCTGGCATTACCCATAGTTTGGATATTGCAGGATGCTGAAAGCATCAGCCTTACTTCCTTCTAATGGAGACATAGAAAAGAGCCTAATACCCATTCTTCTGGTTTGGCGTTATCCAGAGTTTGGATAATGTATGATGCTGAATGCATCAGCCCTTCCTTCCTTCTATCCTTCTTAGTATGTTTGAGATTGTTGCACTTCGGTGCCCTAGTATTATTTACCTGCAAAACTGAGGTAGATAGACAGTGATGGAGACACAGAGAAGAGCCTAATACTCATTCTTCTGGCTTGGCGTTATCCAGAGATTGGATAATGTATGATGCTGAATGCATCAGCCCTTCCTTCCTTCCATCCATCCTTCCTGGTATGTTTGAGATTCATAGAATCATAGAATCATAGAATCAAAGAGTTGGAAGAGACCTCATGGGCCATCCAGTCCAACCCCCTGCCAAGAAGCAGGAATATTGCATTCAAATCACCCCTGACAGATGGCCATCCAGCCTCTGCTTAAAAGCTTCCAAAGAAGGAGCCTCCACCACACTGCAAAATTGATGGAGACACAGAGAAGAGCCTAATACTCATTCTTCTGGCTTGGTATTATCCAGAGTTTGGTTAATGCATTATGCTGAATGCATCAGCCCTTCCTTCCTTCCTTCCATCCATCCATCCATCCATCCATCCATCCATCCATCCATCCATCCATCCATCCATCCATCCTTCCTGGTATGTTTGAGATTGTTGCACTTCGATGCCCTACTATTATTTACCTGCAAAACTGAGGTAGATAGACGGTGATGGAGTCACAGAGAAGAGCCTAATACTCATTCTTCTGGCCTGGCCTGATCCAGAATTTGGATAATGCATTATGCTGAATGCATAAACCCTTCCTTCTTTCCATCCATCCTTCCTTCCTTCCTGGTATGTTTGAGATTGTTGCGCTTCGGTGCCCTACTATTATTTACCTGCAAAACTGAGGTAGATAGATGGTGATGGAGTCACAGAGAAGAGCCTAAAACTCATTCTTCTGGCCTGGCCTGATCCAGAATTTGGATAATGCAGGATGCTGAATACATCAGCCCTTCCTTCCATCCTTCCTTCCTTCCTTCCTGGTATGTTTGAGATTGTTGTGCTTCGGTGCCCTACTATTATTTACCTGCAAAACTGAGGTAGATAGACGGTGATGGAGTCACAGAGAAGAGCCTAATATATTGTCGAAGGCTTTCATGGCTGGAATCACTAGGTTCTTGTGGGTTTTTTCAGGCTATAGGGCCATGTTCTAGAGGCATTTCTCCTGACGTTTCGCCTGCATCTATGGCAAGCATCCTCAGAGGTAGTGAGGTCTGTTGGAATTAGGACAATGGGTTTATATATCTGTGGAATGGCTGGGGTGGGGCAAAGAGCTCTTCTCTGCTGGAGCTAGGTGTGAATGTTTCAACTGACCACCTTCATTAGCATTTGAAGGCCTGCCTGAGCCTGGAAAAATCTTTTGTTGAGAGGTGTTAAGATGTGCCTGGTTGTTTCCTCCTTGCTGTTTTGCTGTTGTAATTTTAGAGTTTTTTAATTGTCCTAATTCCAACAGACCTCACTACCCCTGAGGCTGCTTGCCATAGATGCAGGCGAAACGTCAGGAGAAATGCCTCTAGAACATGGCCCTATAGCCCGAAAAAACCCACAAGAACCAAGAGCCTAATACTCATTCTTCTGGCCTGGCATGATCCAGAAATTTGGATAGTGCAGGATGCTGAATGCATCAGCCTTCCTTCCTTCTGATGGAGACACAGAGAAAAGAGCCTAGTGCCCATTCTTCTGGCCTGGCATGATCCAGAGAGGTGGGCTGGATGAGGGCCACCTTCTCAGGGCTCCTCCAGCCAGGCGGGCCTCCTTCTTGCCAAAGGAAGAGCAGAAGAGGAGAGGTGGGGGCGAGGGAAGGCGAGGGAGAGGGATGCCTTGCAGTTCTCCTCTGGGCCACTAGGGGTACCTTTGTACCATTTTTCATCTCGGCAGCAATTTGGAGTTGAAACCTCGAATCGGGGGAAATCAAGGTTCTCGGCATTTCCCCCCTTTTTCCCCCTTGTAGCGAGCAGCGCACTGGGGACCCGGAAAAAGGGGAGATTGGAAAGCAACCCTCTCTGTCTCAACATCCCCCACCCCGAGGCCCCCTCTCCCGCTGCGAAATCGCCCACAACTGGACAACATCAAGCAAAGGGGATTCATCTGGAGGGCAATTTCAAATCGAGATAAATCTATTGGATTAGTCGGATTATCTGATTGCAGCCGAAAAAAGAAGTAACGTTTGATCATTTCTAGTTCTTTGCCTGATGGTGGGATTTAAATGGAGGTGGCGGCGGCTCGGTACAGATGCTTGATGCTGATGAATTCCGGATGGGATTTCTCTCCCCCTGCTTCTCCTCCTTCTTCTCCTTCCTCCTCTTCTTCTTCTTCGTCTCCTTTTTTTCGCAGTCTTGGGAAGAGGGCAGGAGGGAAAGAGGGAGCCAGGGAGGAGGAGGAGGAAGAGGAGGTGGAGGAGGAGGGGAAGAGGAGGAAGGAGAAGAGGCGAAGAGGAGGAAAATCCTCTAAATCGGTACAATTTGGAAGTGTCCGGGGAATGATTTAAGAACCTCGGGGTTACAGCTGCTTCGCGGAAAGAGGACGCCTGGAAGGAAGGAAAGAAGGAAGGAAGGAAAGAAAACCCAGTGAAGGAATTACGGCTTTAGCGCTGGACTTGGCTTTTTTAAGAGAGAAAGAAAAAAGAAAAGAGAGGAGGAAAAAAAGCGACCTTTGAGGAATGGGTAAATACTTCTTCCTCCTTTTTTGGGTACAGTGTGTGTACGTGTATGTGTATAGAGAGAGAGAGAGAGAGAGATGTATGTTAAGTCCCCATTCTGCGTGTATTATTATGACTAAGGCACCGGCCAAGGAGGCATCTTGGGTGTTGTGTGTGCGCGCTTCTCTCTCTCTCTCTCCCTCTCTTTTCCTCTCCCCTCCCCCCTCTCTCTGCCTTTCTCTCCTTCCCTTCCTCTCCCTCCTTCTCTCTTTCCTCTCCCCCTCTCTCTCTCCTCTTCCTTCCTTCCATCTCCCCCTTCCTCTTCCCTTCTCTCTTCCTCTCCCTTTCTCTCCTCTCTCCTCCCTCTTCCTTCCCTTCCCCCTCTCCTTTTCCTCTTCCTTCCTCTCTTCTCTCTCTCTCCTCTTCCTCCTTCCTTCCCCTCCCTCTCTCTTTTCCTTCCTCTCCCCTCTCCTTCTCTCCCCTTCTCCTTCCTCTCCCCCCCTCTCTTCCTTCCCTCTCTCTCCTTCTCTTTCCTTCCCTTCTTTCTCTCCCTCTTTCCCCCCTCTTCTCTCCTTTTCTCTCCCCTCTTTCCTTCTCTCCCTCCCTCTCCCCCCTCTCTCTCTCTCCCTCTCCTCTCTTTCTCTCTCTCTCTTCCTCTCCCCCTCTCTCTCTTCCTTTCCCTTTCCCCCCTCTCTCTCCCTCTCTCTCCCTCCCTCCCTCTCTCTCCTCTGTTGTTTCTTTCGCAGAGCGTTTGTGTTTTGAATCCCCTCTTCAGTGATGGTACATAGGGTCTGGGTGTCTCAAGCTGTGTCCGAAAGGAGGAGGCGGGTTGTGTGTGTGTGTTCTCTCTGTGTGTGTCACAACTCACTCCCTGCTGCTGCTGCTTGTGACTTGCAAAAGCGTTTTCCCTCGAGGGTGCCGAGCAAGAGGGCGAAACCTGGCTCAACTTTGCGGGCTGCCCTCCTTCTCGCCTGACTTCCTCTTCTGGGGGAAAAAGAAGGGGACACTTTTCTCCCCAAACCCTCCACCTCCCAACCCGAAATGTGAGGCGGATTTGCTAAGGCGTGGGAAGGACGTGCGTGGGGAGGTGGCGTGAGGCAGGGAAGACACGCAGCCCCACTCGGGGCCTTTCTCCTCCTCCTCCTCCTCTCTCTCGCCTCTCTTTCCTTCTCTTCCTCTCCTGGCTTTGCCTCCCCTGCGGGGATGCGGTTTTAACTTCTCGGGCCGTGGGCCCTTCCACACAGCCATATAACCCAGAACACCAAGGTAAAATCATAGAATCATAGGGTTGGAAGAGACTTCATGGGCCATCCAGTCCAACCCCCTGCCAAGAAGCAGGGAATTTGCATTCAAAGCAACCCCACAATATCTGCTTAGAAAATCCCACAATATCTGCTTAGAACTGGGTTACCTGGCTCCACATATCCCAGTTCTAAGCAGATATTGTGGGATTTTCTGCCTTGATATTCCGGGTTATATGGCTGTGTGGAAGGGCCCAAAGTGTGTATTTGTGGGGAGTGGAAGAAGCCTCCCTTAGGAGACCCCCAAGGAGGGGCTGCTTCCCAGCATAATCCCCCACCCGTAGCCTGCCCTCCATCCATCCATCCATCCATCCATCCACGCAGGTGGACCAGGGATACATAGTGCCCTTCCACACAGCCCTATATCCCAGAATATCATGGCAGAAAATCCTGAGTGTGGACTCTGATAACCCATTTCAAAGCAGATACTGTGGGATTTTCTGCCTTGATATTCTGGGATATAGGGCTGTGTGTAAGGGCCCCTAGACAGCAATGGGTTGCTGTGAGGTTGTAGGTTTTTCGGGCTATATAACCATATTCTAGAAGCATTCTCTCCTGACGTTTCACCTGCATCTATGGCAGGCAACCTCAGGGATTGTGAGCTCTGCTGGGAACTAGGGTTTCTCTATCTGTGGAAAGCCCAGCCTGGGTTGCTGTGAGTTTTCCGGGCTGTATGGCCGTGTTCCAAAAACATCCTCTCCTGAGGTTTCGCCCACATCTATGGCAGGCATCCTCAGAGGACTGAAGACCGACAGGGGTTCGAATCAGGGGAGCTCCCTCTGTCAGCTCCGGCTCCCCAGGCGGGGACTTGAGAGAAGCCTCCCACAAGCATGCTTTTTTCTGTGTGTGTCAGGAGCGACTTGAGAATCTGCAAGTCGCTTCTGGTTTGAGAGAATTGGATGTCTGCAAGGACGTTGCCCAGGGGACGCCCGGATGTTTTATCATCCTTGTGGGAAGGTAGACCATCAAAACATCCGGGCGTCCCTTGGGCAACGTCCTTGCAGATGGCCAATTCTTTCACACCGGAAGCAACTTGAAGTTTCTCAAATCGCTCCTGACACAACAAAAAACCTTCAAGAGGTTGAGGGGGTCATTTGGAAACAGCAATGTCTTGCTCAGACTTGGGTTGCAGCTCCAAGACCTCTCCTGGTCCTAAGTCTTTCAGATAAAGGGCTAAAGAAGGAAAGGAAAAGACCCCGAGTGGTCTTTTCCCTTCCTTCTTTAGCTCTCATGCTCTTTCCTTTTAAGGACACCCTCCCTCTGTGTTATTTCTCCCTCCTGCTCCCCTATTTCCAGGCTTCCCCAGGTTAGCATCCCTCGGCTTCCTGGGCATTTCAGCTCCAGCCTCTGCTTCCTATGTTTCCTGAGATTTCAGGAAGACAACCTTCCATTCTTTGAGCCGTAAGGAGAGGCGGGTAATAAATAAATCATCATTATCATCATCATCATCATCTTTATTTATTTATTTATTTATTTATTTATTTATTTATTATTAGTAGTATGTTATTCTTTCTTGTCTGCAGCTTGAGAAACTGCAAGTTGCTTCTGGTGTGAGAGAATTGGCCGTCTGCAAGGACGTTGCCCAGGGGAGGCCCGACATTTTTGATGTTTTGCCATCCTTGTGGAAGGCTTTTCTCATGTCTCCGCATGGGGAGCTGGAGCTGACAGAGGGAGCTCAACCCACTCTCCCTAGATTCGAACTGCTGACATACTGTCAAACTATAAGGCAGCCCCTGGGACAGGAGGCAGCGAGGAAGAACCTGCTCCTTCCCTTCGCCCCCCCTTTCTTAAAGCCTAACTCCGCCCACCTCTGTAGCCCCGCCCTCTTAATCTGCATAAGTCAGTGCTTGGTCTCCCTTTTAGGTCTCATCCACCTGGAAGGGGATAAGAATAAAACCAGCAGCAGGGCTTTAAAGGTAGGCAAGAGATTCCCCACAGAAAGGAGAAAACCATGAAAATCTGGCTATCAGTATTTAAAAAAACCTCTAAAATCAAAAGAGTAAGTAAAGAACAACACTCAAAAACAGGGGAATTCCAGACAAGAAACATACAGGATCAACTGAGGGAATCCAAGAAAGGATTCCCCCAGGCAGGAATCAGCCAGACCTTGAAGCTGCAAGACCATTAAATGCTAATCAAGGTGGCCTGTTGCAACATTCACACTTGCCTCAAACAGACAAGAGTTCTTGCTCCCACCCAGGACATTTCACAGATATATAAGCCCCACTTGTCCTAGTTTCCAATAGACCTCACAACCTCTGAGGGTGCCTGCCATAGATGTGGGTGAAACACCAGGAGAGAATGCTTCTGGAACATAGCCATACAATCCGGAAAAGTCACAGTAACCCAGATTCCCCACAGCCTTGGCTAGTCACTGATGCTGCTTCCCCTCCAACAATTGAAGGAGTGGGTTGCTGTGAGTTTTCCAGGATGTATGGTCATTTTCCAGAAGCATTCTCTCCTGGCATTTCACCCATTTCTATGGCAGGAATCCTCAGAGGTTGTGAGGTTATATTGGAAACCAGACAAGGAAGGTTTACACTGCACAAGCTTTTGATGTCTGAATAACTCAGGACTATGTCTGTTCTTGTTTCTATTGTATTTTAAAGTTAATTGTATTGTTTTAATCTACTGCTGTAAACTGCTCCGAGCCAAACTGGGAGTAGCCGTATACAAGTCACACACACACACACACACACACACACACACACACACACATCTGTTGAAGGTCCAAGGTGGGACAAAGAACTCTTGTCTGTTGGAGGTAAGTGTGAATGTTGTAATTAGCATCGCAAAGCCTTGCAGTTTCAAGGCCTGACTGATTCCTGCCTGGGGCAATCCTTTGTTGGGAGGTGTTAGCTGGTCCTGATTGTTTCATGCCTGGAATTACCCTGTTTTCAGATGCCTGCCATAGATGCAGGTGAAACATCAGGAGAGAATGCTTCTGGAATATGGCCATACAGCCCAGAAAACTTACAGCTATTCCTGCCATTACAACAAATTGAAGGAGTCTTCCTGAAATCTCCTGCTCCAGAGGAAGGAGAGGGGTGCACTGAACCACCAGAAAGCAAAGGTGTCACTATCTCAGCCACCTGTATGGACAATTTTGGAGTTGGATTTCAGAAGGCCAGATAAGGGATGTTCAAGCTGTACCATTTGGGGCAGAGGAATGTGAAAGAAAGGCACACAGAGAGAAATAAATAGGCTTCCATGAAACAAACACTGCAGTCAACAGGTTAATAATGCACCTCCGAGGAGTGTCTTGAAGCATCAAAAGACACACATTGCCAGTTTGTGTGGGGGTGAAAAATCAATACTTCTGGTTGGTTATCCTGTGCCCTTTGCTGCCTTCGGTTTCTGACACTGGTCTGGATGTGAATTCATTTAATTTTTTTTTGTAGAATTGAGCAGCTGATGTATGGAAATGCTAATTTCGTGCCGCTGAAATTCAAAATGATGAGGCTGAAAAGTCATCTTTGATCACGACAAAGATTTCTGTGGTGCTTTAAAGACTAATTCATCATACAGAGAGCTTTCATAGACCATGAAAGCTCATTCTGTAAAGCATTTGTCTCTACGATGCCACTGGGCTCTTGATTGTGTGTTTTTTGGGGATTTTTTTTTTGCTGCAACAGACAACTGTGCCTTTTGGAAATCTTTTTCAAGAGAAATAAATGTATTTAAGGCTGTGATGCTGGCCATACTTAGATGGAAGTAAACTCTT